CCCCTATAGTGCCTTCCCTGCTACACTATAGTTAACCAAACAAAACAGTACAATTTCGAGTTGGATAGAACTGAATCTGCGCAATCAACTCAACCGAACTGCAAAGCTTCCATCTTGGGTTCCTTTGCGAGCTCGTCCTTTCTGCTTGCACTGTTCATAGCGCATACAATGTTGTGCCGAAGCGCGCATTGCGCGAGTACCTGCAAATGCATCAAGCGAAAAATGCGAAAGCAAACAAACACACGAACACACCATTCACACACAAATGCATTCGCACACGCATACTCGTACAAACAGACGGCAGGATGTCGTGCAATGTGCATTTGCACCCAACAAACTCATGCATACGTGCGTTTTGGAGCACTCACATTTCAACGGGTGACCCGTCAGCAGAACAAAAAACACCAGTCCAGACGGGATTTCTAGGTCTATTTCCCACGTTGTTCCCTTGGCATTGATCGGAAGCGGTCCAGTCTGTGCGTGTCACACCTAGGGATGATTTGATTGAAAGCAGAGGGGGCACTGAAAGGGGAGACAGGGCAGGGAAAGAGAAAGGCGGAAGATATGGAGAGACAATGTGGTAAGAGAAAGATGTATGCACGCAGTAAGGCTGTTTGATTGGTGAATGCAGGAAGCAAGTAAAGACGCAGGAAGAGAGCGCTTGAGAGAGATGGGTGCAGGAAGAGAGTGGGAGGGGCATGGGTGGTGGCGTTAAGAATGAAAACCCACCTGAGCCAGCTATGAAAGGGACTGAGAAAGCATAACCTGTACAGGCACCATGGGGAAAGCCAGGCACGAAGCAACAAAGCAATGGACCACTCAGACATAAATGAGGTATGCTGGCAACAAATGATTGAGAGAATCTTGAATTCAACTGGGCATAGAAATAGATAGTCGTAACAAACAGAAGTTGCATTCCTTTTTTTATGGTGGCAGTTCACCACATGTCAGGCCATAACATATCAATTCCTTCAGCCTGCCCTTGAGCCTCGTCACATCAACTCCACGTCATTTCCTAGTGCTCTTTTCTTGTAGGAGCCTCTTCTCCTCACTGCCACTCAACATGCGACACGCACCCGGACAAGCCATGGGCACCGGCGGCAGCGAGGGGACGTTGACAACTTCCAGGCTGAATGGAGAACAGAGTGCCCCACCGCATAGCACCCCTTGCCCGTCGGTCGTCCCGCAGAAGACACAGGCAGAAGCGGGGCGCTGCTGCACGCCGTAGGTGCGGCAGTAGGAGGAGTTGAGGAAGCAGTTCTGGTCGGCCGCACAGACCGCGAGGGAGAGCTTGGGGAAGGAGCCCGAGAGGAAGTTAAGACCCACGTCCAGAGAGACCAGGAAGGAGGAGGGGATGGGCATGGTGCCCGTGAGGTAGTTGCAGAAGAGGCCTCTGGGAGGGGGAGGCATAGGGAGGGGGAGGGGGGAAGGGGGGGTTCAGATGAGGAAGGGGGAGGAGGGGAGTAAAGGGGTTTGGAGAGGCCAAGAAGAAGGGGAGGAAGAAACAGGACGGACAGTAAGACACAAGTGAGATGTAAGAGATGTGAGGGTGAGCAGAAAGGCCAACAGCAAGGCTCCTGCGTGCATCTGCGTATCCTTGAGGCTATGTGTTTAGCTCACTGTGTGGTGAACTGTGGCAGGGAGGCGATGAAGGAGGGAATCGATCCCGCAAACCAGTTGTTGTTGAAAAAACTGAAGGGTGCAGAAATGCACGGAGCGGGAAGGAGATGACAAACGTGGAATATATTTTGGAAACGGCAAGAAGAAAGGCTACACAATGATACTGGAATTCGTGCTCAGCTTGGCTCTACCATACACCAGACAGATTTCCTACAAATGATTGGAGATTTTAAAGCTCTTATAGAGATGAAGGATCTTACAGCGCCTTTATACTGGTCATGACTTTAATTGGTGTGGCAAATGATTCAAGACTGCCCCCAAAGATGTTGTAGCCGAAATCTCTGAAGCAGGTGGGGGAGAAATCAAGTTTTGTGAATCACATATCGGCAGGATGGCCTGGAGAGAGAGACACTGTCCGTGCATGCATCACATGTTTAATCGCCATTGTCCATGCCGGCATTACATCGGCAGCATGGCTCGCCCTCTCTCTTGCAGATGCACACATGCATGCTCACCTCCTCTGAACATGTGATGAGAGCAAATCAATTGTCCACCCATATCCCTACCTCCGTGCGCACACGATTGGCAATCGCAGCAGGCTGGTCTTCGATTGCATGACCTTAAACGTTCTCTCCCTGGTGTGTGGCCTACAAGCACTCGACGGATAGGCACTCGCTTTGCAAATGCAGTCAGCATGCCTGTGCATATATGCGGTACAGGTTCTTGTGTGCGCGCTCCCTGATTCACCCTTACAGGTAAGTGAGCGCGGTGAGCTTGGAGATGTCTGAATGAATAGACCCCTTGAGACTCTGACGCGCCACCGAGCTGCAGGGGGGTGATGGAAGAGGCAGAGATCGGGGTGTGCGAGGAAGGTGACACAGGCCGGCTGACTGGCCACCTGCCTGTCCCCCTCCCTCCTCCATTCTAGCAATAAAATCCTGTTGTCTGCAATAATCTCCACACTGTCTGGTTTCCACCCCATGCACACCTGCGCCCCTACCCCTTTGCCCCACTACCCCGGTACCCCGCTGCCCACTCACATGGACTCCACGGAGCTGGTGAGATTGCAGAAGACGCCAGTCCACTCGTTCTGGAGGGGCGTTGACATCCCGGTGAGGCGGCAGAGGTTGGTGGAGGCCCACGTGGTGAGGGTCACACCCAGAGTAGTCTTCAACGCCAGCACTACATCGGCTGTTGGGACGCGAGAGAGGGGCAGGGGAGGTAAAGAGGGAAGCGGAGTGAGAGAGTGCGTGAGAGAGAACGGGAAATTGCAAGAGTGTGAGGATGCGAGGGTGTGAGAGCACAAGAGGGCATGCGTGCTAGGACTACAAGAGGGCGAGAGCACAAGAGTATGTGCGTGCAAGAATGCACAAGTGCGAGAGTGCAAGTTTATAAGGGTGCAAGAGGGCGAGAATGCAAGAAGCATGCAAAAGTGTACAATGTGCAAGAGGACAAGGCTGCGAGAGTGCGTATTTGCAGCAGTGGAAAGGTGGGAGTGTGCAAGAGTGCAAGTTTGCGAACGTGCAAAAATGCAAGACGCGAGGGCGCAACATGCAAGGATGGAAGATTGCGAGAGTGGCATAGTAAAAAGAGAGGGGGTTTGCAACGGTGAGATAGTGCAAGCATGTGATAGTGCACTGCATTAGTAAAGAATGCACATCGAAATAAAGGTGCAACAGTATAGCGATGAAAGCATGGAAAATCACTCAAGGGTAGGATAAGCGTGCAAGATCGCAGGAGTGGAAGATTGCGAAAGTGTAGGAATGCGAGAAAGAGAAATTGGAAGAGTGTGAGAGTGTAAGATTGAGAAGAGAGCGAGAGTGTAAGAGTGCGTGCAGAATTGCAGAAGTGCAAAATTGTGGGATACAGGAGTGCAAAGATGCAAGTGCCCACGAGGGCAAGAGTACAAGAGTGGAAGATTTTGAGAGGAAGAAAGAGTGTGCGAGAGCGCAACAGCAAGAAGAGGGCAAGCTGCAACTGCAAGGGTGCAGTAGTGCGAGATCGCCAGACTGCGAATGTACCATGTACAAGAGTACAAGAGGGCAGTATTGCAAGATGCGAGATTGCAGAAGCGCTAGATTTCCATAATGCGTTAGAGCAAAAATGCAAGAGAGAAAGTGTGAGAGTTCAAGTGCCAGAGTGTGAAATAGAATTTGAACCCAAGAGAATAAGATTCTGGGAGTACACCCTAAAGCTCACTCAACCGCCCACTTTGAACAGTCCCAACAGGAGCGGCGGTCGACGTTCACGGTAACGGCCCACAGCTTACTAGCCCACGACAAAACACTCGGATTCTTGACCGCGAATAAGTTAGCCAAAATCTCCAAGCAAAATAAGCTGGGCTACTCGAAATGTTTGACCTATAAGTGCGTTGGTAACCCCAATACTATGAACAGTCCCAACCTGCCCCTAGCTGGCGCGTGCTCGGGAGAGGAGCACAAGGAAGGATGGGGATGGGGACTGAAATGGACATCAGGTGTAGATGAGTGTGACAGTTCGAAAGAGCGTGAGTGAAAGAGCGTATGAGTGCAAGGGCAGGGCACACAGCTGCAAGAGCGCACGTGTGCACAAGTGTGTGGCAGCAGACCTGAGTGACATAAGTAGCACTGACCCTGAGTAGGTTCGATGGGAACGCCATACAATCTGCACCGGAGCGGCAGGTCTGCAACATCAATATTCTGCATGTGGTGCTCAATTCTGTACTCGTCATCCGGCTCGCATCACTGCCCCTGGCCGCACAGTGTGCCGGTGCCATCAGTGCTGCCGCAGATGGCACAGCTGGATCGCTGGGGCGGGGAGGCAGGGGCAGTGCAGGTGCCGATGGAGGTAAGGCAGTTGGTCTGGCAGGTGCATGAGGTCCAGGTGGAGGATGGCAGCGAGCCCACGAAGTAGTTGTTTTGGATCTTGAGCGACTTGATGTTGGTGATGGCGGATGGCAGGGAGCCCGTGAGGTAGTTGTATGAGAGGTCCCTGTGGGAGTGTGTTGGAGAGAAGGGCGGGGGGGGGTGGGAGGGGGGGGGAGTTCGGGGTAGTGAGTGGGGGAAGTCTATTGCAGTGGGCATCAAGGTGCTCTGAAAAGGGATATGAGAGGGAGGTGGGGTGAAGAGGTGGGGGAGAGAGGAAATGGGGGAGGAGGGGAGATGGGGGAAGACGAGGGGGGTGGCTGGGAGGTGGAGGGGCTTTAAGGTCCAAACGGCTTGAAAAAATATGGAGACGTGCCGAGTAGCATTTTACTTACAGTTTAGTAAGGCCCGTTAAGTCTAGAAAGAAGCTTGGGAACGTTCCAGAAAAATACATATAGGCCATTGTCCTGTCAGGGGAAGATGAAGAAAGTGTGGCAAAACATGGCGACGAAGAATCTGTAATTATTATGGATAATTATGAGCGACGGGGGGAGGGAGAGAGGGAGGGAGCAAGAGAGGGAGGGAGGGAGGGAGGGAGTGAGAGAGGGAGGGAGGGAGGGAGGGAGTGAGAGAGTGAGAGAGGGAGGGAGGGAGGGAGGGAGGGAGGGAGGGAGGGAGGGAGGGAGGGAGGGAGGGAGGGAGGGACGGAGGGAGGGACGAACGGACGGACGTACGGACGGAAGGAGGGAGGGAGGGAGGGACAGAGGGAGGGACAAAGGGAGGGACAATGGAAGGGACGGAGGGAGGGACGGAGGAAGGGACAGAGGGAGGGACGGAGGAACAGAGGGAGGGACGGACGGAAGGAGGGACGGAGGGAGGGAGGGACGGACGGACGGATGGAAGGAAGGAGGGAGGGAGGGAGGGAGGGAGGGAGGGAGGGAGGGAGGGAGGGAGGGAGGGAGGGAGGGAGGGAGGGACGGACGGACGGAGGCACGGAGGGAGGGGGACGGACGGACGGACGGACGGACGGACGGACGGACGGACGGACGGACGGAAGGAAGGAGGGAGGGAGGGAGGGAGGGAGGGAGGGAGGGAGGGAGGGAGGGAGGGAGGGAGGGAGGGAGGGAGGGAGGGAGGGAGGGAGGGAGGGAGGGAGCGACGGAGGGAGCGAGGGAGGGAGCGACGGAGGGACGGACGGATGGACGGACGGAGGGAGGGAGGGAAGGAGGGAGGGAGGGAGGGAGGGAGGGAGGGAGGGAGGGAGGGAGGGAGGGAGGGAGGGAGGGAGGGAGGGAGCGAGGGAGGGAGCGAGGGAGGGAGCGACGGAGGGACGGAGGGACGGACGGAGGGAGGGAGGGAGGGAGGGAGGGAGGGAGGGAGGGAGGGAGGGAGGGAGGGAGGGAGGGAGGGAGGGAGGGAGGGAGGGAGGGAGGGAGGGAGGGAGGGAGGGAGCGACGGAGGGAGCGAGGGAGGGAGCGACGGAGGGACGGACGGATGGACGGACGGAGGGAGGAGGGAAGGAGGGAGGGAGGGAGGGAGGGAGGGAGGGAGGGAGGGAGGGAGGGAGGGAGGGAGGGAGGGAGCGAGGGAGGGAGCGAGGGAGGGAGCGACGGAGGGACGGAGGGACGGACGGAGGGAGGGAGGGAGGGAGGGAGGGAGGGAGGGAGGGAGGGAGGGAGGGAGGGAGGGAGGGAGGGAGGGAGGGAGGGAGGGAAGGGAAGTAGGGATGGGTGGACGGACGGGCGGACCGATGGACGGATGGACGGACGGATGGATGGATGGACGGATGGATGGAGCGACTTTTAGCTCACAAGCTTCGGAGGGTGGAGATGCCAGTAAGATATTTGACGTAATTCTCCAGGTTGCCATCCAGCAAGTTGGCATCCATCGTTCTGCAAGCACAAACATGCGCGAGAACCGTAGCCGTAGCAGAAATCAGGTCTCGGAGGAGCAACTTGCTTATTTGTCCAACAAAAAGGGATGCTCCACTTACAGTGCGTTGAGCGCCGAAAGTTGGGTCAAGTCGCTGGGGAGGTCCTTGCGAATTATCATTCGGCCATCCAAAACCCTGCCAGGGATGAACGCCAACACACACTCATGCACGCACGCCCACAAATCGCCACCTCCCACCCCTCCCCCCCTCCAACACACAACGATACAAACGCCCGTGTCCACAACAAACACACTCACGCTCACACACACACACGCACGCACACACACACACACACACACACGCGCACACACACACACACACAAACATATACACACCCATACCAACGCACACACACACACACACACACACACACACACACACAAACACACGCAACGCAGGATCAACTACGAATGCGTAGGCAAGCAAAGAAAGACATTAGCAAACAGAACGATGATAGGAAGCAGACACCCGCCTTACAATTCAATCACGTCCCCGGCACTGGAGCAAACGACCCTGTCCCAATCAGAAGTAGAGATCGTCGCGGGAGGGTTTGAAGCAGTTTGGGGAGCTGGACGATGACCACTTGGTGAACGTCAGGCCCAGCGCGGACTTGATGGCTAACAGCGCCGACACTGCAGTTCGTCAGGGTGGCAGGGTATAGTGGGAGAAAATAATCTCGCTGGTTGACAACTACCAGCTCTTTGGATGAGTCCGACTGGAGGAGAGCTGGCGGTCAAGAATTTTGATGATGCGAAAAAAACGCTATCATATTCCTAGTATACGATAGTAGTAGCAGGGTGCTGCAAGCGGCTTGGCACAATGGGTTTTGTGGTACCGCGTTGTCCGACAACATGGCGAGTCGCAGCACGGGTGCTAACCTTGCGCTGGCTTGATGGTGGCGCTTGCGTCCACCGTGACGCCGCGAGATTGACTCCCCAGCTGACCGCCGCCCGGCCAAGTGCCGCCGCTCGACAAAAGCAGCAGTACGCTCAACACACATGCAAGTCGCGCCGCCATGGCACCTAGAAACTTTCTTACCGCCATTTCCGCGCAGTACTAGCACCTGCGAAAGTAGCGATACTAGTACTACCTCAAAAGTACTACAATCAACAAACTGGAAGCGCCGCTACTACTAGTAGTATACAACGTCGACAAACTTCATCGCCGCAGTCTTCCAGTCAAGTGACCAACTCCCCGACCTCCCCCCTCTCCTCCCACCCCCCACTTCCCCTCCCTCCACCCCCCCCCCCCCGCCTCCCCTCCCTCACCCCTGCCCCACCCCCTCATAAGGCCCCCCCCTTCTCCTCCCCAACGAACTCACAGTGAGGGCCCATCACTGTGTCAGGTGTGGTTGCAAATTGGTCGTAAATGACAAGCTGGCCCAGCTTAATACTAGGCTAGGTCTAACCGACGAGGCGAGGTACTACTTGAAACCAACACAGAGTGCGTGACTACAGTAGATGAGAGTGGTACGAGGAGGAGAGTGGTCTGTCCTTACCTACAGTAGATGCTCACCATATTTCCTTCAAACAAAACGTCTTGACAATCTCATGCTCAAAACATTTTATCCATGAGTGACTAATATTCTGATTGTGCCAAGGTGGGGGGTATAGTCTTTCTGGAAGCAAAAATCTACACTTGATAACCAGTAAGAGTTGCACGTTCCATACGTAAAAAATGTTGAGGGCCGCACATCGAATATTGTCATTATTGCCCGGCTTTACCTGTGGCGAGATGGGCGAAGGTCGGCGAACACCAAGAAATGTTAAAGTCTCATATTTCCAAGCTATCGCGTGTTCTAGTAAGTGGTCGACATGTTGTTGGTAACCGGTTTCGCAAATGTTATTTAGGGTTGTTTGCAACACTCGCGTATTCATGTTCAAATTTGGAAAAAAAAAAAAAAAAAACAAGAGGCGACGAAATCGTCTTAGGGTTGCGGAGCATTCAAGATGGAAGGAGAAAACATTTGCTTACTATGCATTTATTCTTATCCTTTTCCGTTCAAGATAAAAGGGGAAAACATTTGGTTTCTATGTATTTAATCTCATCTTTTTCATTGTTACACTTGTTGGATTCATCCTTTAAAGGAAGAGAGAGTTCTCTGTGAATCGAGCTCGGGACCTTGTGATCACCAGGTTTTACGCAGACCACTGCGCGACACTATGCGAAAACTTTCGACTTCTTAATTTACTTGTTGTATGAACTTGACGCAAATCAGAAACTACCTAGGGTTTCGTAAATCTCTCTCGTACTTCCGCTACTCCTTTCTCGTCCCGCTACTCTTACTAGTTCTTCTACACAAGCTTCTGAGGTGACTCTTCTAACCTCTGAATGATGTATACGTTCTAACGTTAATAGCAATCATTTTCTAGATCTAGACTTAAGTACCTTCCTGATTAGTCGATTTTCATTGCCGCAACAAACTTCCTCTGTTTCTTCTATATTTCGTAGACTTCAGAACACGTTCATTTGTCTCCCTTGCTCACTATCTCGCTCGGCCGTCTCTCCCTCGTCCGTCCGCTTCTTTCCCTCGTTCACCTCTCTCCCTTTTTCTCTTTCTCTTACTCTGTCTTTTCTCGAATTTTTTTTCCAGGTTTCTCACTATCCCGTTAACAACGTTACTCCCACTAATCCTGTAAGTGGCTTTAAGTTGTCTACGACGGCCACCATTTGCTTTCCTCGCTTATGCATCTGTTAAACCGCCACATAACTTCCTCATTGTCTTTGTTTCTAGAGTTATGAGCGAGCATTATATAGATCTAGATGTTAGTACTTCGTGACTGGTCGTTTTTCATTGCTGCAACAAACTTCCTTCTTCGTTTCGTTAATATTTCTTAGACTTCATAACAGGTTCATCTCTTTCCCTTGTTCGCTCTCTCCCTCTGCCATCTCTCCGTCGTCCGTTCGTGTCTTTCCCTCGTTCACCTCTCTCTCTCTCTCTCTATCTCTCTCTCTCTCTCGCTCTTTTTCTCTCACTCTTTAATTTTACTCGAGTTTTTTTCCAGGTTTCGTACTACCCCGCTAATCACGTTATTCCCATTAAGCCTGTAAGTGGATCTAAGTTGTCTACGATGGAAATATGAAAATTTCGTCGAGAGACCTGGCTATGCTCTACGAAGCAATTATTGACCAGTTTAAAGGCTAGAAGTCGTTTTTGTCCTGTCGTTATCATAAGAATACACCTGCTTAGACTTAACAATTGGTTTTTCTTGAAGCAAAACAATTCATTTTGACCGAGCGCCTCATTCTTAGCTAGTGTATTGGGTTCGTCGATTTACAGTCTGCAGTTCCTTTTCCTTTATGCTACCATATGCTTTCCTTGCGTTTTCATATTCTAGAACTGTCTCATGACTTCCCGATCCGCTCCGTTTCTAATTTCGATGTATTCTCGCCTTGTTGAAGTCGGAATCAGTTGAAGATAGGTATGTATTTAGTGATCTAGACTAACTAGCGACTGGAGACATTTGCACCTAGGCGCTAGGTCGACTTTCGGAATGCAACCCAAGTCGATCTAGTTGTTAGGCGGTTCATTAGAAATATTGAACGAGAGAGTGGCAAATTGGATTGGTTTCTAGAATATTTCGCTTTTGATTTGCTTCTTTCCCTCCTTCGTTCCTTCCTTCTTACCCTCCCTCCTCCTTCCCTCCACCTTCTCCTTCCTTCCCTCCCTCCCTCCCTTCCTTTCCTAACTGAACTTTCTAATTGTTCATTTTCTGATTTCTTCATATATGCTTGTGTCTATACATTTTCATCTGATTTCGTGCATTGTTTTGTTCTGGAGTTTTTGGAATAGGCTATATCATATATTTAAACGCGTTTGAAGATTGGTCGCATACCCATGTCACATCTATTTGGTTTTGATGGCTTCTGTTTGCATCAATATCCCTTTTTTTACTGCCTACCTTTTCCGTTTGTGTTGTATCTCAGAGGTCTTGTTGTAATCTTCATACAATCAAGTTGATGGAAGGTTCTGGTGGGATTCTGGTGGTCACTTGAAAGATTTTTTTTTTGTGTAGAGCCATTTCTTAAATTGCATCTATTTTGTTTGATTGTGAGCTTGCTTTCCCGCTCATGTGTGTGTACGTGTGTGAATGTGGGGTGATGCATGCATTTATTTTATCCATGTCATCGCATCAATCAACAATACATGTCTGTGGATTTTAAAAAGAGGATTCACGCTATCAATTCCGAGAAGGCTCTTTGCGCACTCAGTGAGTGCAGTACTCGAGCTGGTTTTGATAGTGTTGACCTTCGTTTTAGAGTCCACAGATTGTGTTGTTCCATGTGTTAGCTGATTATTCAAATATTAAGCTATTGACTTCCCCCCCATGCTAGGAAGGGGATGCGGTAGCTTAGTATTTGGGTTTTACGCTTTCACACATTTCCATCATTCTATAATCATCTAGAAATAATATGCATTATTTTCATTTATATACATGCAATTTATCATTGCATTCATTTAAATGCATCTATTTACTATATTATATACTACTAGCAACATACGTGCGATGTATGCATACATTATCAATACGTTCATTATTCATCGCTCGCATTATACTGTACTAGCATATGTATATACTATATTCATCGCATCATACTACATGCACCATAAAGAAACACTACCTTAGGATTAGAACTTCGCCCACAATATGGTGTTTCATTTTAGAAGCAAACACAATTGAAACATGCAACCACATGCAGGGTAGTTTTTATTGGGTTTTTTTTCGTATTTCATATTTTATAATACAACAAAAATATGGAATATGAAAAAAAACTTAACATATCGATTGTAATAGGTTGCTCCGCAACCCAAAAAACATTAGAACATTGAACTGAGGTTGACTTTGTTGGGCAACTGCTCTGTAACGAGTCA